ACCATGGGAGGGACAGCCCAGCACCCCTGTCATATTCTGTTGCTTAAAATCAAGTCACAGGTCCCATCCACATTCATGGGGAAGGGATAACACAAAGGCATGAACACCAGGATGTGGGGTTATAGAAGGTCATCTCAGAGTCTGTCTGCCACCAAAGTCTTCCCTGACATTACAATGGCGCTGGGATCTAGTACACTGACTAGCAATACTGTGTCACTCTCCTGCTCAACAACCACCAATTGTTCCTCAGTTCCCATGGTTTTGCCCCATATTCCAGGCCAGACAGGCTCTCTCCTTATACCCAGTCTCTCTGCAGCGTCCATCCATGCCTTCGTTCACTGCTTCCACTCATTTCGGCAGCCCCTGCCTCTCCTGTATATCCTCCAAAATCTACCTATAATTTAAGGCTGAGCATAAATGTATTGATCTTTCCTAAACAATATTTCTGAACATCTATTTAAGTGAAGAGCATCATGCTAGATCCTCCTTGAATTGCAATGCATAATGAGACGTAGTCCTCAATGCCAGACACAGGGTGGGGAGCAGAAGGTGTACGCAAATAAAAAGAGGAAGAATAAAAAAAAGGTTCCTTTGCTGAAGGTCAAGTTCCTGGGGCAGTTGGTAAGTCCTACAAGGGATTTTAGATGCACAGAAAGCTCCATTTCATATATGATCTTTCAGTAGGCTTCCCTAGGCTGGAAATCACAAACGGGTTCCAAAAGAGTTCGGTCAAACTGACGTTTTTCCCGGAAGGACAGTTGGAGCGGGAACTGCCCCAGCGGCAGCCCACACTGCCAGGCAACCTGGCCAGGCCGGCTCTGTCCTTGGCTGGCACCAAAGGCTTCGCTAGAAGGAGTGGGGAATAGCAACAGAAATCTCCTTCCCTCCAGTCGCGGGATCTCTGACCACACCCAGGGCTAGTCCCAGAAAGGCTGGGAGAAGAAACCCCAGTAGCTGCGCAGCCTTAGCCACATCAACAGGTAAAGGGAAAAGGCAAGAAAGGGAAAGGCAACCCGGGCCAGTCACCCAGTCTGCCTTCCTCTGGCCGGAGGGGGTGGGCGGGGCCTGCAGGGTGGGGGCCGGGGGCGGGGCCAGCAGGGCTTGCGCTGTTCCCCCAACCCCACGTCTTAGCCTCCGAACATATTAGCCTTGGCCCTGGGACTCCAGCCTTGGACCCACACACCTACCAACGGCTGCTAAAGGAAACTGAATCTCTGCAGATGTCTTGGAGGCAGATGCAACCTGGATCTAGGGGTTGGGGAACGCCTGGTGCTCTCTCAGTCTCTCCTCTCTGCCCCCCATCTTCCCTAGTGCCCTCTCCCTCTGGAAGCCAGGGGGCTTTTTCTCAATACCCACTTGTCATTTGCTCTGAGGAATTCGACACAATCAGATTCCTTCCCCACCCCACCCCCCACTCACCTCGTCTCACTTTCTGTCCTCAGCAGTGAACTACCCCCAGGACCTTGTACAAACTAGTCTCTACACCTGCAACATTGTTCCCACCCTTCTTCACCTAACAAATTCCAACTTCTTTTTCAGGTTTAGTCAGGAATGCTTTCCTTGACCCCTCCCATCGTGCTATGGGCTCCAGGGCTTGGCCCACCTCAGCCCTCCTCATCTCACTTTGTAGTGGCTTGACTGCCTGTCTGTTCTTGTCTTTCTTCCCCTTCTTCCTCCCCTCCCCCTCCCCCAAGACTGCTGTGGCTGCAGCATCTCGTGTCTGGCCCAGGCGTGGTCCTCTATGCCTCTGCCCGGGTGGGAGACTCCTACAGTCGCTTCATATCTTAGAGCAGCAGGACTCAAACTAGAGGGTGCATTGGAATCACCTGGTGGCGGGGCGGGGGGTGGGGAGGAGGTATATAATACAGATGGCTGGGCCCCGCCCCCAGAGTTTCTGATTCAGTAGGGCCTGAGTTTTCTTTTCAGACAAGTCCCCAGGTGCTGCGAGCCCAGAGACCAACTTTAAGAATCACTTAGAGTATCCGTTTCTTCATGGCTAAAAGAAAATTAACTGCTCTTCCTACCATACTAGGTTTTGTGAGATTCCAATGAGACAATGCAAATGAAGATCTCAGCACTGTGCCTGCACCCCATGGGTGCCCAATAAATGTTTGCAATTGCTAACGGGAGTGGGTAGGAGACATGCCAAGCAGAGAAAACATGAGCAGGAGCCGAGGAGGGAAGGAGCCCAAGCAGGGCAGAGGAGCTCACTGAAGAGCCAAGGCCAAGCACAGTGGCCAGGCAGTCCAAGTGGTACTGGGGAAGCAGCTGGGAGCCATGTAGCGTTCTAGAGCAGGGCTGGGACAGGTGGAAGCTGAATGTGGCGGCGCTGGGCAGGAGGCCATTGCTGGCAGTAAATCCCACATGCTGGGTTCTCCTTGGCTCTTTGGTCAGGCACTAGGTTGCCAGATTTAGCAAATAAAGATAAAGACCATCTAGTTAAATTTGAATTTCAGATACATAACAAATAATTTTAGTATAAATATATTCCAAATATTGCATGGGAAGCACACTAAAAAAAAAAAAACCCTTATGTTATTTATCAGACATTCAAATTTAACTGGGCATGCATTATTTTTATTTGCTAAATCTGACAACTCTAGCCAGATGCCAAATGCCTACCCCCCAACCCCCAAGTCCACATGCGGTCTCACGATCCTGGGCCTCCCTTCCCGCCTTCAATGAGGCCACCATGGGTGGTCAAAGCTGCAGGCCTGGGTGAGCGGGTTCTTCCACTTCATGCCACGTTCACCCAGCAGGAAAGTACTGGGATGTAGTAACTAACCATTGACTTAAAGCACAGAAGACTACCTAGGTCCATAAAGAAGAAAGTACCACATGCACTCATGGGTTAATCAAGAAACCGACAGTTGCCAGTGGTATAGGCCCATCTGGTAAGTGTACCCTGGCAGGGGAGTAAACAGCCGCTATCCTTAACCCCATAAAGAGGCAAACACAAGCACCCATGCTGCTTGCAAGCTAAAAGGATGTGTTGAAGATGGTGATGTAACCCACAGGCTAGAACAGGGTGGGCCCTGCCGTTCAGCTCAGTTAGTTGGGTATTAGGAGGTTGTACTACCAGAGACTGCCTCTCCCCTGCTAGACCCTCATAATCACCAGACCTCTCATGATTCGTAGTTCCAGACACAAGCCTGTCGGAAATTCAATTTCTGCAACAAACTTTATATCAACATTTTTTTCCCATCTAACAAAGAACAATGAAAATTTGTGCTCCATCTTAAAAAAAAAATCGATAAACATTTTTGAATGCCTAATATATGCCCCGTGCTGTGTTCGGCAAAAATTTTATTTAGCTCAGTAGTTCTCAGCCTTGGCCACACATAACAATCACCTGGAGAGGTGTTTGTTTGTTTTGTCTTCATTCTAGTACCCCAGGAATCAGTACTTGCCCCAGACACAATGATTCCAATGTGCAGCCACAAAGAACCCCTGATTTAGTTCATTCTGTTTAATCCTCACAATGCAATCCTGAAAGGGAGGTTTTATCTCCATTTTGCAGATGAGGAAAGAGAGGCTCAAAGAGGAGGAACTGTGGCACAACCTCTGACCTCTCCTTCCTTCCTCCCTCCCTCCTCGCCCCGCCTTCCCCAGGCTCATGGAGGGATTGCCCATGTTGCCAGCGTTTCGCTGTTATAGATAACAGTTCCATGCACTGCTTCCACAGAACTGTGTGTGGCGGGGCACTGCCCTCTGGCCACCTTGAGATGGCGCTTCTCCCAACGGTACTCTTCTGAGATACCAGCCAGACAAGCCTGGGTTCAGGACTGACACCAAATGACTTTTGCTCATGCAAAAACAACTGAGGTTCCAACCAGGTCCTTTCTTCTTGGCTCAGAACAACGGCGGCCACCTCTCCTTCCCCACTGCCCAGTACTTTCTAAGTCTGGCTCTTTGCCATGGCGCCCCAACCCTCCAAGGCTTTCCCCAGTGCAGAGACCTTTTTACAGCAAATCCTCTCACCTCCTGAGACTTCTCAGAGCATCTTCTTTGCAGGGGTCACAGCCTCACATGGTCACGGAAATCTTTGACACAGGACAGGCCGCGAATCACAGATCCAAAGGGAAAAAAACGTTCCCTGGCCCGAGCCTCGCACGTGGCTCTCCGGCCGACCAATCTTTTCAGAAGTGCGCTCACCTGTGCTCACCTGCGCTCACCTGTTCTCATCCCTTGGCGCTTGCCGGCCTGGAGAGAAGGCCCCTCTGGGCGGGAAGGCTGGTCACCGCCTGCCCTCTGCTGGCCAATGGTGGTATTGAGCTTGCTGCTGCTCCACCAGTGCGCCGCATAGCGAGCGAGCGTTTATTGAGCTTCTGCTGTACGTCAGGCACTGAACTGGGCGCTGGAGTGTAAGAATAAAGGCCACCTGCTCTCACAGAGTTCAAATTCAAATGAAGAGGCAGAAAATGATCACATAGTCATTCAGGCAAATATGAAATTACAACCGTGGGCTATGTGAGCGTATGATAGATGAGGATCCTGTCCAGTGTGGGGGTGCGGAGTAGTATAGAGGGATCAGGGGAAGCTGCCCCCAAGGAGGGGACGTTTGAGCAAAGGTGCCTCACAAAGCCATTTCATTTAATGTAGAAAATCCTGTAAGGTGGCTATCCCCTTTGACAAAGCAGAAAACGGGCCCAGATTGGGGAAAATTTATCCAAAGTCACACAGCGAGGTGGAAGCAAAGTCAGGAGGACCTCCGGGTCCACCGGATTCGAAGGGCCCCGCTTTCCCGGGGGTCCTGGCAGCCCAGCAAGTGCCGGCCAGACGCACAGTGCCCCGAGCCACTCTACGGAGCGGGGCGGGGCTGGGGTGGAATCAGCGTGGGGCGGAGCCTGAAGTCTGACCCCGCCCAGGCTCTATAGGTGAAAGGGCGGCCTTGGGCGTGGAGACTGGGCGGGGGCGGGGTCTTTGCGGGGTGGGGGTGGAGCCCTCCCTTGACTCGTGGAAGGGGCGGAGCCGGGATTTCACCCTGTCCAAAAGGAGCCGGAAGCGCCCAGTGAGTGTGGGGCCAAGGACACTTGCCGGCTGACCCTGTGCACTCAGGTGGAGGCGGCGGCTCCGGGTCCCGGAGGTCCAGTGGGCAGCTTCAAAGGTAGGGCCCATCCCGGGCCTGCGGAAGAGGTACCCCTCTCCCCTTCCCGCCTTGCCCCGCCCACCCGTCTTGCCTTTCGACCCTCATTCCTTCCTGTTCCTGGGCCTGAGTCTATCTCCGGCCATCCAAAGGGAACTCTCAGGGGTTGTGGAACTCACTTCGCCCCTGTTCCCGGCCCAGCGGCTGCGGGGGCCTCCGGATATCCAGCATATGGGATCAGGAGTTAAGGAGATGCCAAAACCTTTCAGGGGACGCTGGCCCAGCATCATCCCAAACTGTCTGACCTTGGGGCAGACACCCACCCTCTCTGGTACTGTGTTCTCAGTTGCAAAGCAGGGTCTGACTTTTGCCGTGTCTGCCCTGAGACTGATGGGGCAGCGGTGAAGGCCCCTGGGATTGGTTTTCTCTCTTCCAGAGCTATAGGAATTCTTATCCTCCTGTTCCCTCTGATCCTAGGTAGAGAGCCCTGCCCTCACCTCTCCCTAAAACTGGGAGCCCAGAAAAGCTGAAAGCTCTCACCCAGGGCAGCTTGTTCGGGCTTCCCTGGGTGGAGTTGTGAACTGGCTTGGGAGGCCTGTGGATGTTCGCAGAGTGAGATCCGAGGCTTGGGCTCCTGTGAGGCCCGCCTGCTCACTTTGCAAACAGCGGGGCCACCATCATGCAGGGCCTTGAATGCTGAGTTAAGAAATCTAAACTCTTACCTGTGGGAGGGACAGTGCATTGGAGTCTGACCTGCAATGTTGTCAGGACCAGCCTGGCTGAGCGGGGCTGTCACAGTGCCAAAAAAGATGCTGTGGCTGATAGGTGACATGTATGGGCATTTACTTCATGCTAGCGCTTTACATGAATTATGTCATAAATTACTCATGCATCCCTTATGTTATCCCCATTTCAGAGGCTGAAACTGAGGCTCAGAGAGGTGAAGAGACTTGCCCAAAGTCACAGCTATTAAATGTCAGGGAGGGACTAGAATCCAGACCGCCCGGTGCCTAACCCACAGTGTCCCCCGGTTGCCGTCCGGGATCTAGGGATGCAGTAATAAAGCCTTGGCCTAGGACCGCAGGAGGAGGAAGGAGGGACCGGATGAGCAGGAGACTGGGGATAGGATTCAGAGAGTTGGGGGGCGGTACCCATGAGGCCTGACTGAGCTTTTGGTGCTGGGGAGATGAAGTGTTTGATTTTAGACATGGTATTTGGGGTGAAGGGTGGTATAGGGGAGCTAAGCAGAGCTTCCCTCCACCTGGAGAAGACCAAGGAGGCAGAGCTGGGTCCTGGGGAGAGGAGGTGCCCTCAGGGATGGGTGCAGGTACAGGAGGGCAGTCCAGGGCCTGGCCCACGGGAGTTCCTCCAAATGCTGAGCAGACAGACGTGGGGTCCCCTGCCCCTGGGGTTAGGGACCAGGTTGAGCAATGAATTCTAGGCTGAGAAGAGTTTGAAAAATTGAGGCTTTATTTCACAGAAGGGGAAACTGAGGCCAGTGAGGTAGTTGCCTGAAGACACTCCATGGGTGGATCAGCGTAGGACCCAGGGCCCCCCGGGGGTGACATCTCTGCCATTGAGTGCTTTCTGCTACCTCAGTGGCTGTGACCCAAGGCCAATTTTGACAATGTTTGGGGACAATTTGATTGTCACAGCTGGAGGGAGGGTATCAAGGTACTATTGGTATCAAGGGGGTAGAGACTAGGGATGCTGCTAAACATCCTACAGCCCGCCCCCCCAACAACAAAGAATTATCCAGGCCCAAATGCCAATGATTCCCAAGTTGGGAAACCCTGTATGAGGTCGAGCTGAGTGTGACACGCCCCCCACCCACCCAGCTCTTTTGCCCTCAGCAGGGCAGATAGTTCAGGCTTGGGCCTCCAGCTGGGCAGACCTTTGCCCTCACCTCTGGCCTGCCCCTCCCAGGAGTGCTCCTTTATTCCTGGAAGCTTCTATCTAGAGTCCTCTCTACTTTTCCTGGGCACAGTGATCTAGAGCCCAACCCACCACAAGTCTGCCCTTGTCAGTCTGTCTGTCTCCGGACCTATATTTACAGAGTTTGATGATAGGCAGGGAGAAACCAAAGTGGAAATTTTCACAAAGCACAGAGTAGGTGCCTTGCAGATAAAATATTTATTAAATTTGAGTGACGTGTTCAGGGTCCAAAGGGCTTCATTTTATCCCAGTTTTCACTTTAGCAATTGAAATTGTACCTTATGTTTTTGAAGCTCCACATTTCCAGCAAGCTCCCAGGTGCTGCTGGTGTCGTTGGGCGTGGACTGCGCATTGAATGGCAAGGTATTGCAGGGCTGTGTAGAAGGGGGATATGGGCTGGGCCGCCCTCTCTGCAGTCAACTGTGTTGTGGTTTGGGGACTGTGGAGTGGAAGGAACCATGGTACCGAGTCAGGAAACCAGGATATGAGTCATCACCCCCTTCCCCCATCTATGGCTTCTTAGCTTAGTAGCGTTTGGATAAGCCACTTAACTTCTTTGAGGGGTGGTCTTGCACAGCAGGTGGTCCTCCAGGGATTCTGACTCAGGGTCTGAGGGAGGGAGGTGCCCTGTGGAAGCGGATGGCCAGTGTCCTGGCAGCCGAGGGGGCAGTGGGCCACGGGCCTGGCCAGCGGGGAGGACAACGAGCTGAAGCTGGCAGGCGGGCACCGTGCCAGCGTGGAGGCGGCTCTCATCATGGCTCTGGCTTTTCTCTGTGGCTGCTGAGGCCTCCTGCTTCTGGCTCACCCAGCTGTGCCTGGTGTGGGAAAGCTGGAGGGACCAGTCTGGCTGGGGGAAGGAGGAGCCACTCTGGGCACCACAGGCCAGCCCAAGGCCTGAATGTGGGTCTGAGGACCAGGGTCAGGGCTGAGAACTACGGCCTAGAGACACTGGGGTCAGCTGTGGGCCACGGATGGACTTCCCACCCTCCCAAGGAAATTGGGAAGGACTTTGGAGTTTGGGGCCTTAAACTGGGAGCTGCCTCTACCCACAGCTGTAAGAGATGCCCCACCTTGAGCATCTGACCGCAGGAATAGAGCTGGGCAGAGCCTTGGGTACCTGGGGTCCTCCCATCCCTGGTTCCTCCCAAATCAGCCACAATGGACTAGCAAGGCCCCTTCTAATGCCTAGCACCAAGAGGCAGCAAGGCGGCTGAACCCATTTCTCAAATGGAAAAATGGAGGCTTCTGCCTCCCCATTGCCTTGGAAGATATCAGTCTGTAGGGCTGTTGCCTGTTTCCCAGCAGGACCTGATATATCATAAGGCTGCCCCTCGCCGACCCCAGGGGAGGAGCGGTTCGTATGTAGGACTCTACAGCAGGGGCTGAAATCCCAGCGCCTTTCCTTCCTGGTTGTGAGATCCTGGGCCCGTCACTCTGCCTCTCCTGTCTGTCAACAGGAATAATGACACCCACTCGGCCAGCCTCATAGGTTGTTGTGAAGAGAAAATAAGCCCTGTCACAGAGCACTGAGGTCCTTATTACTCATAGCATTTAGAGGCTCAAGGAACCCCAGATTGCCTTACCCAGTGCCCTCATTTGACAGATGTGGGGATCGGCGCCTGGAGAAGGGAGGCGGCCGTCCAGGCGTCCCACGGCTGGTCAGCGGGTGAGCCAGAGCTAGAACCCACATCTACTGGCACGCCTCTCGTCCCCTGACTGCGGCCCATCTTCAAAGGCCTGAGGGCAACACATCGTAAGTCTGGGGACCCCAGGGTCAGGCTGCAAAGCCTCTCTGCAGAGGGAGGGGGACCAGGCCTTGGTCCCAGCACCACCTGCCTCCTCTTGCCAGCCGCAGCCATGAACTACGTGGGCCAGCTGGCGGGGACCGTGTTTGGGACGGTGAAGGAGCTGTACCAGGGCCTGAACCCGGCCACGCTGAGTGGTTGCATCGATGTGCTGGTGGTGAAGCAGGTGGATGGCTCCTTCCGGTGCTCGCCCTTCCACGTGCGTTTCGGCAAGATGGGTGTCCTGCGGTCGCGGGAGAAGGTGGTGAGTGCTGGTCGCCGGCCCGTGGGCCACTGCTGGGTGGGCTTTTGAAGCCAGGGCAGCCACTGCAGTCCCAGAGAAAGCCCAGGTCTCCCTTAGGTGGAGACCTGTCCTTCTTAGGTATTTTCTTCGATGGTTTGGGGTTGGTTTGGGTTTTGGACCGAGAGGGCTCCTATCTTCCCCCTGGAAGCAGCGTGGTGGAACCATCAGACCTGGCTCCAGCCCACTAAGACCCTACCTGTGCGTCACCTGTGCTAATGGGCACGCTTTCCTCTGCCTGGTGATTAAATCAGAGCTGATAGCACCATCCCCGGGCCAGGCCTGTGGGTGAGGTTCTGGGTTAGCTCCTTCCCCTTAGGAAAACTGCGCTGTTGTCACTGGGCTTAAGTGAATATGACAGGGACTTCTGTTAGCACTGAGGCCTGGTGTGCGAAGAGGTTTGATGGTAAACCCCCTGCACACTAGGGTGGCTATGAACTTTCCAGAATCCAGATAGGACAGCATCACCTTGTGGGAGGCAGTCCAGCTCAGTGGTTAAGAGCCTGGGTTGTGAACTCAGACTCTGAGTTTATAGGCTCAATTGGGTACTTCCCAGAGAGTTACTTAACCCCGCCAAGCCTCAGCTTCCTCATCCATAAAGTAGGGATAATGATAGCTATTGCAAGGGGAGGCTGTGAAGATTAAACAAGGCGGCCTAGAAAACACGATTCTAAGTGCCTAGAAAATGGCAGTTCCTATCTGTGTCGGTGCACTCAACAAACGTTTGAGCGCTGCCCTGGGGCTGGGCCTCAACAGGTACAAGGCGAATCGCATCCTTGTTCTTATGGACCGCGGGGAAGAGGGAACACAGAAACCAAGGCATGACTGTGCCACAAAGTCTGGAGAACGGGGAGGCGTGTTGGGGGCACGAGAGCTCGGCCAAACCTCTCTGAGGAAGCAGAGACCCTCGGCGGGGGGGGGGGCGGCAGCCAGGTACAGCAAGGGCTGTGGGAGACAGTTCCAGTGCATGCAGGGCTCGAGTCCAGCAGGGAGCCCGTGTCTCCTGGGCCAGCGGGGAGGCCAGGACCCCAGTGGACCTGAATGCGGCAATGAGAGCCGATGCGGGGGTCATGCACCCCTTGCCCCATCATGCCCTATTACAGGTGGACATCGAGATCAATGGGGAGCCCGTGGACTTGCACATGAAGCTGGGGGATAGCGGGGAGGCCTTCTTTGTCCAGGAGCTGGAGAGTGACGAGGTAAGTTCCGGCCCCTTCACCAGCACCCGCCCCGGGCGGGGCCCTGGGGCTGAGGGTCTGATGCAGGGGACTGGCTCAGGGCTGGCATTCACAATGCGCTGTGGGCACCTGGGTATATTCCGATGGGGGAGGCAAGGGGAGGTGGAGGGGCGAGGGCTGACTTTTTTCCCAGAGGACGTTGGGGAAGATTTCTCAGGAGAGGACACTTGAGCTGGTCCCCTGAAGGGTGAGAAGGAGACCTTCCTCTTGTAACTTGGAGAGGAGGAGGGGCTGAGTGGCCGGGGCCAGAAAACATAAGACGGCTTGTTCTGGATCTGAGGCCGACTCAGCGCCGCTGGAACGTGGAAGTGTGTGGGTGGGGGGTGAAGAGAAGGGTGTTTGCAGAAGGGAGGCAGGCCCAGCACAAGCAGCAGAAGTATTTAAATAGTTTGACTGAGCCCATACCGTGTACCAGACACTGCGGTGGACTCGGATCGGGGGGGGGGGGGGGCGACACCTGCCTTCAAAGAAGTTTCCCAGACTGGTCTGAGAAACACACAAACAGTGGGTGATGCAACTCTGATCATTGCAGTGAAGGGGGTTGGAACTGACACTGAGGATAGTCAGGGCAAACTTCCTGTAGGAGGTGACTCCTGGCTGAGTCTTAAAAGGGAAGTAGGTGTTGGCTGAGGTAGGCGTGAGCAGAGAAGATTCAGAGGCTGATGCCCAGACTTCTGCCCAGACAGTGTGGTTCACGCAGCTCCTGGGACTGAGGTCGCTTTGTCTCTGAGGGAGCTCTGAGGCCAGCAGCAGGTGCAAGGCCATGCTGCCGCCGCTGCCGCCGCCACCTCTGTCCAGCCTCCCGGCCTGTTTTCCTGACCCCAAATGAGCTCCTTCCAGGGCCTGAGACTCTGGCAGGGCTCAGGGTGCCTGGGGAGCAGGGCAGCCCTCCTAAGCTGTGGCCCTGCAGTCCTGCCCCTGGTTTTCTCCACAGGAGCACGTGCCTCCCCGCCTGTGCACATCGCCCATACCCTGGGGTGGCCTGCCCGGGTTCCCCTCGGACTCCCAGCTGGGGACAGCCAGCGAGCCCGAGCCCATCGTCTCGCATGTGGCCTCCATGGGGAGGAAAAAGAAGCTTCGTAGGAGGAAACCGAGGCGGAAGGAGGACGCGGTGGCAGACGATTCTAGTTCTGAGGATGTGGAGGCAGGCGCTGAGAATGAGCCCTCCCTGCTGGAGAGGCCGAGGCTGGAGCCCCCAGGGTGTGTGGGGACCAGGTGGGGGCTGAGGGTGGGAAGATGCCAGCTGGGGTCAAGCACTGTTTGCTCAGCTGGTGCTGTGCGCCCCTAGGCAAGGGCCTTGACCTCTCTGCGCTTTAGTTGCTTCACTTTCCCAAGCCCCCCGATGTCCAAGCTCCCACGGCCTGCCCTGGGTGCCCTGTGCTGTCGGTGAACATTGGTTTCTCTGTGGCCCCTCAGCAGTACCCAGCTGGAAGGGGAGTCCTCGCCGCAGCCCATGGACGTCCACCCCTACTCCGATGGCGAGTGGCCCTCCCAGGCCAGGTGAGGGTCCGCGTGGGCCACAGGCGGGACTCGAGGCCAAGGTCTCAGAGTAGTTTCCATTTCCATTTTTCTAAAAAAATAATGACTTAGAATACCTTTAATGTGTTCCCCAGCCATTTGTTTATCTCCTTTATGAAGTGTTTGTCTTTTGCCCATTCAAAAATAAAAATTGAGGTAAAACACATATAACATAAAATTTACCATTTTAGCTGTTGCAAAAGCGCCCCGTTCAGTGGCACTTAACATATTCCCAGTGTTGTCCACTGTCTAGTGCAGTCCCTGTCTAGTGCCAGAACTTTCCTGTCACCCCAGATGGAAACCCTTTACCCATTAAGCAGTCACACACTTGACCCCCCTTTTTTTAACTGGACTGCCTTTTTATTGTTGATTTGTAGGCATTCTTTGTATATTTATATACTCTGGACCCAATACAGGCATAAATATGTGTTGCAAACACCTTTTCCCAGGCTGGGGTGGGCGGCGGGCTGGCTTGGGCGCCTCTGAGTTTTTGTCTTCTGCAGCCTTTCGTCGGGTGGGCTAACGTCCCCTAAGAGTGACTCGGAGCTGGAGGTGAAGACCCCCGAGCCCACCCCGCTGAGGGCTGAGTCCCACATGCAGTGGTCCTGGGGGAGGCTGCCCAAGGTGAGTTCCTCTGTGACAGCCCCCCGTCCCTGCCTTACAGGGGCTCCACGGCCCCTGCGGATAAGGACTGCAGTGACTGAGACTTGGGCCACCTCCCCAAGGCCTTGTGGGGCGTGGGAGGCAGGCCCTGCATCGGCCTGGCCCCCAATCTCCCCCGTTTGTTTGATTAAAGGTGACCAAAGCTGAGTGGCCCGTGTCCTCGATGGTCCCTGATGGCAGCACCGGGGCAGCCTCACCACCTCAGGGAGAGCCCGGCACCCCTGACCTTCAGCCTGACACAGAGGTGCCCGCTCTGGTGGGTCCCCCGCCCCTTGCCCCTGAGCAAGAAAAAACCAAGACTCAGAGGTCCAGGGATGGAGGCCTCTCTCCTGCCTCCAAATCGTGGAGCTGGGCCGGTCTGGAGGGTCTAGCTCCCACCGGGCAGCCAGAGAGGGTCTCCAGGGGGAAAGGTGAGTGACACCCCCAGCGCTTCCCTGGGATCACGTTACTTCCTGGGTGGACTCTGGGACATCAGGCATGTTTTGAGCACCTACTGTGTGCCAGGCACTGTGTTTGGCACCAGCCCTCACAGGGCTCACAATCCAGTGGGCAGACAGATGGCGCGTGCATAAGCCAGGGAAGAGCGGTGCACGGGTGATAGGGGACAGATCGTTGGGTGGGGCGGGGGCTATTTAGGTCACGTGGTCAGGTAAGGCCTCTGTGAGTGGGTGATGTGCGAGCTGAGATGTGAACAATGAAGACCTAGCTGAGGGAGGATCAGGGAAAGAGAATTCCAGGCAGAAGGACAGCATGTGTCAAGGCCACGAGGAAGGAGAGAGGTTTCATGCCTGGGAACCGAGGCCGCTGGTGTGTCTTGAGCGCTGCAGACGAGAGGGTTAGGAGAGGGAGCTGGGGAGATGGGCGGGCGCTAGACAGTCCCGGCTCCCCGGCTGGGGTTTGTCCTGAGTGCCTGGGAGGGCACTGGGCCTGTGCTCCCAAGTCGGTGGTCCCTGGCAACTCATGGCTGTTGAAAGTTAAAATTAGGTAACATTTAAAATTCCATTTCTCCATCACACCACATTTTAAGTGTGTACCATACTGGATGTGCAGACAGAGGACATTTCTATCATTGCAGAAAGTCTGCTGGCCAGCAGGGCTTTAGGACGTTCAAAGGCAAGGGGGTCACGTACAGCTCACACTACTGCGCACATGTTAGGTCTACAGTCATCCCCTCCTCTGCCCTCAGGCTCCGTGAAGAGAAGCCAGCACCTGGGCCCCAGTGACATCTACCTGGATGACTTGTCCTCCCTGGATTCTGAGAATGCAGCCCTTTACTTCCCCCAGAGGTGCCTGTGTGCTGGGTGCCAGGGTGTCTTGGGATGGGGGCCCATCGGGCCAGGGCTTGGTTATCAGGGCCCTGGGAACAGGGAGCCCCCTCCTTCCAGCCTCCTTGTATTCATGTCACTGTTGGCCCTTCTCCCCACCAGTGACTGTGGGCTGGGAGCCAGGAGGTGGAGCGAACCCGGAAGCCAGAAGATGCTGGGGGACCCCAACCCCGAACAGGAGCAAGAGCCCACCCCAGACACAGTGGACACGATAGTGCTGTCCCTCTGTGGGGGACTAGCCGACAGCCGGGACATTTCCCTTGGTATGTCCAACCATGAGCCCTTCTAAGGACGGGCACTGAGGCTGGGAGCTGGGTGGGCAGCAGGGGTGGGAGGCTGGCTGGGCATCCCTGCCCTCTCTGCTCTGCGGAGCCCACCCTCAGCCCGCAAGGGTGCGTATTCCCGAGGCCCCGAGAAACAAAGGCTTGATGCTCAGCTGTGACTTATCCTGTGAATCCAGGGTGGCCAGTGCCTGGGGTGGGAACAGCAGGTGCAAAACCACAAGACAGGAAGACCCTCATGGGAAGCTTGAGTGGCAGAGTGTGGAGGGACCGGGAGAGACAGGGCAGCGGGTCACACGTGAGCTGTCAGCCTACCCCTCTCTCTGCCTCTGTGCCCAGAGAAGTTCAACAAGCACATAGTCTCCTACCAGGACCTGGCTCAAAATCCTGGCCTCCTGGATGACCCTAACCTGGTGGTGAAAGTCAATGAGAAGTAAGTACCAGGGCCAGGCTGCTGGCTGCCTCAGAGAGTTGCCCCGCCCCCAGTATGGCCCTATAGCCCCAACACCGTGTTCTGTCCCCCAGGCACTATAACTGGGCTGTGGCTGCCCCCATGGTCCTGTCCCTGCAAGCCTTCCAGAAGAACTTGCCCAAGGTAACAGTGTGGGCGCCCCTGGGCCTCCTGCGGAAAGTGGCCATGGCCTCGGGGTAGGAGACGTTAGCCAGGAAGCGGAGGGTGGGCAGTGACAGGCCTGGGGCTGACTGGCTGCAAGGCCCACTCTGGGAGGGGAGACTGAGGTCCCCTGAAGCTCCTCCGTGCTGTATGGACAAAGCCACACCCTTCCCTGGTTCCCTGGCACAGTTGAACCCCACTGGATTGGGACTTTTCTCCAGAGGAGCTCAGGATAAACCAGAGGGGGCTGAACATTCATCAGGGACGTGGCTTTAACAGGAGGTTTCAATCTGAGAGATGAGGCTGGGGAGGCGGGAGTCCCATCCCTCCCCTTACCCTGAGAACGTCTCCAGGCTGGGCTGAAGGTGCTCTCTGACTTTATCCAAACATATTTCTTGTGCACCTGCTGTGTGCCAGGGACAGTCATGCTCTCAAAGAAAGTTAACCAAAGGCTCAGCCAGGTGAATGTAAAATTCAACTGTGAGCGTTGGGAAGGAGAAGTCTGGGGTGCTTTGAGAGACTGCGACAGGGAGATTTGCTGAGCAAGTGCCCACTGGGCAGAGATTGGAAGGATGAGTAAGCCTTAAGCAATCGAGGGGCAGGAATAGCATGTATGGACGCTCAGAGGTGGGAAGGAACCCAGCCTCTTCAGTCCCTCCCAGAACCTCCACCCAGTGCTGACCTGCCCCTGCCCCTTCTGCCCTTCTGGAAGTGGTCCAGGGCCTTGCCCTGGTCTAGTGTTCTCCACTTGATTAGAGCTGCCCAAAGAGCATCACTAACCAGATATAGACTGCGGGTGCCTCCCTTCGGTGAGGCTCAGCTCTGACCCCTGGCTGGCTCTGTGTCTGAGCTAGGACCACGCCCGTGGGAAGGAAGAGGGTCACTCTCCTGCTTGGCTGTCCCCACATGGCCAGACCCACCATCGAGGTCCCCTGGACACTCCCCCAGCCTGTTCCCAGCTCAAGTGGCCACCCTTGGCCAACCCACCCCCAGCTCATGTCCTCCTAACTTCGGTGCACCATTCTGTTTGTAGGAAGCACAAATCTAATCAGTATCCCCCCCCACCATGTTGCCCCCACCAGACAGTGATGGTAATATACACAGAGGGCTGTTCATATGATAGAATCACTGACCTCAGGAGCTGCCTGTGTTGGTCTTGGAGGTTGAGGAGAGTACTGGCTATAGATTGTCCTTCCTGCTGCCACTTGGTGGCATCATGCAAAGGAGTACCAGATCTTGAGAAACTCCCGAAGCACTGACTCACAAGACTGGGAGGCCAGGCCGAGGTTGGGTAGAGGCCGGGGGTCAGGCGGGGCCAGGGCAGGCATGGGCGGAGGGGTCCGTGGTCCCCGCGCTTAGTTACCTGTGAACCTCGGGCAGAGATGGGTGTGCTTCCTCAGCCTCCAGGTGTCAGCAGCGCCTTGTGATGGCCAGCTCCAGACTCTGGGCTCATGGTGGCCTGAGGGCAAGCGAAGGTGGGTTTGTGTGACACGGGGGAAATGCCATGGCCATTCTGCCCACAGAGCACCGTGGACAAGCTGGAGAAGGAGAAGATGCCCAGGAAGGGTGGGCGGTGGTGGTTTTCTTGGCGACGCAGGGACTTCTCGGCCGAGGAGGTGGGTGGTTACGGTCACAGGGTAGGGCCAGCCCAGGCTGGAGCCGATTGTTCACTGGGTGAATGTTCTTCCCACAGCAGAGTGCCCAGAGGGAGAAGACCACGGCCCGGGAGCCGCGGGGGTGAGCTGATCTCTTGGCTGGGACCTGGGGGAGGCTTGCCCGCGGAGGGCAGGGTGGAGCCGCCACCTCTCCCCCAGCTATGGTTTTTGGTCACTGCCCAATCACTTCTACACCTTTTCTTTTTCCCGAGACATGCCCCCATTTCCCAGATGGGAAAACCAAGGCTTAGAGACATACCAAAGGTCCCATAGCCGAGAAATGGCAGAGCTGGAACAGGTGCCCAGACAAGGGGCTAACCGCATGAAGGGCGGCAGGGCCTCCCCTCTCCGCCAGAGGACCTGACCTTGCTTCCTTTTTTGCCTCAGAACTCACCCAGAATGCCCAAGGTTGGGGTCGGGGGTGACCAAGGGTGAGTCACCTGAAGCCAAGGCAGGCGAGGTTGGGAATAAATCCTAAAACACATTCCTAGGTTTTCTAGTAGATATCTCCAAGTCAGGCGCCGGCATCCTGACCGTGGAGAGGCACCGAGGGCTGAGAGCCCAGGGCCCCGGCTCTGCCGACACCTTTCTGGGTGTAGACCACCAGCCAGCCCGAATCCTTCGTCTGCTGCCACGTAGGGGGTGGTACCCAGAGAGAGGTTTCTGATCCCCTGGGTCATCTCTGGAGGGGTAGGGATGGGCCCCGGCTCCGTGCAGCCTGGGACGAGGGGAGTCTACTGGAAGTGCAGGGCCACCAGCCGGGGAGGTGTCCTGAGAGCGGGGCTGCCCGCAGGGAGAAGACTGACGTCCTGAGCAGCGAGGATGATGCCCCCGACAGTCCCGTGATCCTCGAGGCTCCCTCCCTGCCACCCTTGCCTCCGGCCTACGCTCCTGCCTACAAGAAGTCCCTCCGCCTCTCCTCCGATCAGATTGTAAGTGCGCACAGACCTGCTGGTGTGGGGATGGGGGCGGCGGTGGGGTAACTGTGCCAGAGCCCTGCAGGGCATGGCTAAGGAACGGCCCCTCAGAGCCACGCTTTCACCAAAGCCCAGGGCCCACCCCCTTGGCCGCCTCCCTAACAGCCTCTGCTCGAATACCTCCAGGGGCAGGGGGATCACTTCTTTGTATGCCAGTCCATTGCTGTCTGTCAAATGCTCTCACTGGAAAAGCCCTCTGTGCCTAAAAAAGTGACCTGCAGCAATTCGGCTGGCTCTGGCTCTGCCCTTGGAAGCCACGCTAAAAGAATCCAGTGTTGGGGACAGGCATTCAGATTGGCCCTGGAGTCACGTCTTTGAGCTCAGTAACTGGTGGTGCCTGTAGGAAGAATGTTCTCTCTCTGAGTATAAGTCCATGGTCAGGGAGGCGCCCGGAGGAACCTGGCCGGCCTCGTGCAGAGCAGCTTCCACCTGTGTGGTGCCTTGGGGCTCAGACCCGCCGTGGCGGAAAGCTGCCCTGATCCTTCTCTCTGGACCAAGGACAGGGCTAAGCTCTCTAGAGGGTGTCACAGGTATCCCAGCCCCCGCGATGACCCCCACAGGGCCCCTGCTAAGCCGTAGGGTAGCTCCCCGCCTCGGGCAATGCCAGCCTTGGGGCTGATCTGACAAACAGCAGGAGCCACAGGCCAGGCTTTGTCCTTGAGCTTCAACACCCCCCACCCCCCGCCACCCCCGGCCTTGTGCAGGCCCCAGCAGCACCCCCTCGCGGACACCCTCTGCCCACAGGGATGTGTCTGTGTGGCTCTCTGAGGGATTTGGGAGGTTCTCTGAGTTGGGAGGGAGGGAGAGGAGGAGGAGAGGCCTGAGGATCAAAGGCCACAGTTTGGGGTGGCAGGGGGTAGACAGTGCCTGGCTGCGGCAGATCACAGCAGCCCGCCTTTGCTCGGCCCCAGAGGCAGCTGAATCTGCAAGAAGGGGCCAACGACGTGGTCTTCAGCGTGACAACCCAGTACCAGGGCACCTGCCGCTGCAGGGCCACCATCTATCTGTGGAGGTGGGACGACAAGGTGGTCATCTCGGACATTGACGGCACCATCACCAAGTGAGGCCTGGTTGGCAGGGGAGAGAGGGAGGGCCTGGAAACTTGCCTCCCTCTGTGCTGGGGGGTGGGGGACAGGGAGAGAGGCCCTCCCAGTGGGCCTCGCTGGGGCTGGGGCTGGGAGTGGGGTCGTACATGGAACGTGAGGCCCACGTGCGGCCGCCTTGCAGTGACCCCCCTGGGATTTAGGTCCGATGCTCTGGGCCACATCCTGCCCCAGCTGGGGAAAGACTGGACACACCAGGGCATCACGAGCCTCTACCACAAAATCCACCTGTGAGTGCCAGGCCTGGGGCTGGGCAGGGCGCTGGGGAGGGTGCCGGGGCATCTCAGGTCGTCGCAGCCTTGGCCCTGGGAAGCCAGGCTTGGGGACCAGCGGGTCCCGCAAGGGAAGAAGCCAGGCCATGTCCCTGGGGAGGAGACCCGCCCACTGGGCCCCCTCCCATGGAAGACTCATCCCCCGTTGTCTGGGATCTGAGTCTAACTGCTGAACTTCAGGCTAGAGAGGAAGTGTTCAGACTTGCTCAAACCTTCTCATCCGCCTTGGTCCATCTTGGCCTCGGAGATCTGTCCATGCTGCTCCTCCCGAGGCCCCCTCTCTCCAGCCTGGCCCCGTGGTTCTCCCTAAGTCCCCTCCCTGCAAAGGCTCTGGGTTTGGAGGCCAGAGCTCCAGGGTTGGGCTGAGCTGGCTGAAGCCAAGGGGGCAGGATGGGCGATGGCCTGTCCCTGATGGCCCTGTGCCACCTGTCTCCCACCCCCAGAAACGGATACAAGTTCCTGTACTGCTCAGCGCGGGCCATTGGCATGGCCGACCTCACCAAGGGGTACCTGCAGTGGGTGAGCGAGGGGGGCTGCGGCCTCCCCAAGGGCCCCATCCTGCTGTCTCCCAGCAGCCTCTTCTCCGCCCTGCACAGGTAACCCTCCTACATGATATCAGCCTACACCCCTGGGGGGGGGCGGGGGGGGGCGAGCCCAGTGCCAGCCCAGGCCAGGCCGGCACGAGGCCTGTGTCCCCTGACCCTCCATCTTCTGATGGCCACCCCTCCTCGGCTGCCTTCCCTGCGCACGGCCCTGGCTCCCCAGGGAGGTGATTGAGAAGAAGCCAGAGGTGTTCAAGATCGCCTGCCTGAGCGACATCCAGCGGTTGTTTCTGCCCCACGGACAGCCCTTCTATGCCGCCTTTGGGAACAGGCCCAATGTAAGTGTCTCTTCCCCAAGGGCTGAGGCACCTCTCCCCACCTCCCAGCCCACCGGCCCCTCCCTGTCTCCCACAGGATGTCACTGCCTACCGGCAGGTGGGCCTCCCGGAATCTCGAATCTTCACAGTCAACCCCCGGGGAGAACTCATCCGGGAACCCATGAAGAACCACAAATCCACGTGAGGCCGCACCCTGCCCCGGGCTCCCCATGCCCCGCCACGTCCCCACGCCCTGGCCTCTCCCTGGGCCCCCATTCCACTGCCCCACCGGGGACTCTATTCCTTATCCATGGCTCCCAGACACCGTGCAGTCTCTGCCTGGCGTGACAGAGGCTGTGGCCCAGTGGAGTCTCAGGCTCTCACTACTGGCCCTGTCGTGCTCACAGGTACGAGCGGCTCAGCGAAGTGGTCGAGCTCCTCTTCCCGCCCGTGGTCCGTGGCCCCAGCACAGATCTGGCCAACCCTGAATACAGCAACTTTTGCTACTGGCGGGAACCACTGGCTGCTGTGGACCTTGATGCCCTGGCCTGAACCTGCCCCGGCTGCCCCGTCCACCCTGGCCTGGCCCAGAACTGACTGGGTATCCCAGGGCATAGGGGGTGGGAAGCCGGGTGCCCCAGGGCCAGCCCGACAAGGAGGAGTGGGGCTGAGGGCTGGTTGGCAGCCTCTCCCCTCCCTGTCCTGTCTCTTGCCTCTGCCAGCAGAGCTGCAGGGGCTGGGGCAGCTGCTCCGGGCCCCAGCATGGCCCTGGCCTGTGGCAATTAAATGATTGTCACCTGGGCCCTTGCAGCATTCTCTGTGCCTTAATGCCTTGAGGTCTATCCCTATCACTCTGAGACTTTGCCTCAACTCCCGATAGGACAGAGAGAAGAGGGAGGCCCCACGGAGGCTTGAGAGCTGTAGGCACGGGGCATGGGGGTGGCAGCAGTCAGTAGCTGCTTAGCATCTGGGAAGGACACAGTGCTTCCCCTGCCCCCGTGGGGAGCCTAGACCGTCCATGCCCTCGGCAGCCAGGCCCTTATGCAGCCCTGGCCCCTTCCCACAGATCTTGAGCCAGACACTCGAGCACACCCCGAGGATGCGGCCCTGAGCCCTGCCAGGCAGGTGGGGGCGGGCCTGCTGCCACCCTGTAGGCCTCTACCAGTCAGTTCAGTGGCCGCACAGCTGCTGAGTGGGCTCCTGCCCGAGGAGCTGGGCAAGCAGGGCTGACACCCCACTGCAGCCATCCCACCCGCTATCTTTGGGGAAGAAAGTACCTTTGGAGAGGCTAAAAGCTTTAATCCAGGCCCGCCCTCCCCGAACAGCACCACAGTGGCGGGCAGAATACCAAATGTCAAGAAACTAGACGGCAGGGCTACAGGGACCTGCAAACCAGCACAGGAGGCCCCGTGCTGCTGCGGGGAAACTGAGGCCAGGAGTCTCAGCGGAGACAGGCACCAGGGTCTCTGGGAACTGCGCAGGCCAGACGAACACTTGCATCTGCAGGCTGTTCCGTGGTGGTGTTCTACCTGCATTTCTCATGACTTCACGCTCATCCAGGTGGGGCTGGGTTTGCAAGGATGTTCGAAACTAGGCCTGAGCCCTCTCCTTCCAGCCGTGGCCGCCTGGCTTCATTCAGACCACGAGGCTGAGAGTCACCCTAAAGATATCCCCCAAATGGGAAGGGGAGGACTACATGGGGACCAGAGTGCCCTGAAAACGTCTTTGGGGAAGAGAAGGGAAAGCACAAATGGCGGGGTAGGGGCAGCTCCAAACAGATCACCGGGACCCAACCCTCTCCTCTGGGGACCTGCAGCTGCCTAAGCCCTCACCTTGAGGGGGATCAAAAGGCGTAAAGAGAACCCCCGGCTGAGCCTGTGTTTCTGTGCTGTCCTGAAGGACCTATGGGGTGGGGCATACCTCTGGTCCTTGGTTCAGAAACGGCATCTGTGAAGCTGCCACATGCAAGGACAGTGCTAGTGGGCAGCACCTTCCTGCAGAAACAGCCCAGATGGCTGGGGAGAGGAGCTGCGGGACAAAGGAACCAGAAGCTTCCACAGGCTTGGGCCAACTGGCTGTGGGCAAAGGGGAATGTGGACAGGCCATTGTCTGAGAAGGAACCTGCAGTCTTTGCACAGGTGCCAACTCGTGTCTGCAGAAGAGCAACTGGTAAAGTGGACTGAGGTCCCTTGGGTCCACCCTGGCCTTCAGGCATGTCATACTCTCCTTGACCACTATCCTGAGCTGTCCAGTTGGTGCAGCACTGAGCATGGGTGTTAATGTCTGAGACAGTCACATGGAGCTGGACCAGACTGTTCCTTCAGTGGCCTCTGAAGTGGCATCTGCGCTGGCCAGAGGCAGCTAGGAGGCATGGTCCGGGCTCAGAGGTGATGTCCGCAGGGTTGGTGGCATCTGGGGATTGGGCCCTGTCCAGCTCACCTAGTTGGCCTGCCCTGGCCGTGCCTGCTCGGCCAGCTGGGCCCGGCAGTCTAGCAGGTCATCCCGGAGTCGGGCGATGTCCTGTGCGTGCTGGGCCAGCGTGCGATTCAGCTGGTCCACGTGGCCCCACAGGCCCGCCCTGGGCCTGAGGGACTCGGTGGGCGTGCTGTCCAGGTCTGCAGCCATCAGGCCCAGCTTCCCACACACACCCTCCACTTGTGCTACCCTCTGGTCGAAGTGGCCCACTGCGTGCTGGAGTTTCTGGGCTGTGTCCTGGCAGCGGCTCAGTCCGCCGGCCACATCGGCCACACCGGCCTTGAGTTGCTCCAGCTCCCCCCGCAGGCTCAGGACCTGCCTGTGGCCAGCGCGAAGGCGTGAGCCCTGGCTGCTGACCTGCTCCTGGATGGCGTGGACCTCAGCCTCCACCTTGCGTTCCCGCTCATCCAGGGACATGTTGGTAGCCAAGAAGGCATCCGAGTACTGGCTGACAGAGTCGCTGAGGCCCGTCAGTGACTTGCTCACGGAGTTCAGGTTGACCTTGAGCAGGGTGATCTCGCCCTGGAGTGAGCTGCCCGTTGCTTCTGCCAGCTGTCCCTGGACCTCAGCCACGGTGCCATTGAGCTGCTGGAGCAAGGCTGCATGGTTGGCCACCTGGCGTAGGAGGACCTCAATCCGGCTCTGCCAGGCCTTCACCTCTGCCACGAGGTTGTTCAGGACAGCCAAGGTGGTGCTGGGGGTACACGAGGTCTCCAGTGAAACCAGCCGTTGCTCCAGCACCGCCAGCTCCGTCTGCACCAGGGGTTGCGCAGACTTGCCTGGCGGGGCGCTGTCATGGCTGAGCTCCCCAGCCAGCGCCAGCAGGCGCTCCTCTAGGCTCTGCAGCCGCTCTTCCAGCACGGTCCTGAAGCCACCCACACCCCATCCCCCCTCCTTCGTCCCCAGACAGCAGCCCCTCCCTCCACTCTCTGTCCCATTGAAGGTCTCCAGGCCCTCAAGAAGTCCATCCACACCCCCCTCGAGCATGGCCGCAGAGAGCCGCGTGAGCTCATCCCTGGTGGTGGGTCCATGGCCCCTTTGGGCCTCAGTGACAGCCTGCAGGTTCCTCTCGAGGCTGTCTATGCGGGCGCTGATCAAAGCTAGCTGGCTGCAGCAGCTGCCCCCGCCAGCCACGCTCAGGCCCTGCAGCCGGGTCCCCAGCTGTGAGAGCTCCCGGCGCAGGGCCAGCTCCCGGCCATCCAGGCTCTGGTGCAGCCTCCGGCTGGCCGCCTGGCCTTCCTCGCACTGCTGCCGCACCTCCTGCACCCGCAGGTCGCATGCATCCTGGACGCCCTGCAGCTTCTGCTCGAAGCCATCCAGCAGGCTCCCCCAGAGTCGGTGCAGCCGCTGGTCCACATATTCGTCCAGCAGGGCCAGGGAGGTCAGCGGAGATGGGGGGGCCTCCCGCAGCTGCTGCAGGTGGGCCTCGTGGCCGAGGGCCAGCCCGTGCACCTCATCCAGCAGCTGCACCTTGGTCCGTAGCGTGTTGCTCACCTCTGTCACCTTGGTCAAGATCTCGTCCAGGGGAGGTGTGAATGGCCCTCCAGTTCTGTCTCCGGGGTTCACAAACCCCTCAGGGATGACCCCAAAGCCCACAGGAGTAACAGGAGATCTGGGGCCACCAGCCATCCTGTCGGGGTCCTCGTGGCTGGCCACCAGGCCGCTGAGGGCACCGTATGCTTGTGCCAGGCGCCGGACCTCACCTTCCAGGCGTTCCAGCCGCTCACCAAACAACCCTGGGCCTTTCCTTCCTGGGAAAGAGGAGGAGAGAACCCCAGGAGTGTCACTGGCCTGGCTCTCTCAGCATGTCCTGTTGCCAGGCCACCTGAGAGGTTTCCTGTTCTAAGCCAGCCTTGCTGGGCATAGTTTCATCAGCTTCGGGAGGGGGCCTGGGGACTCACCCATTTGCCCAGCACGAGATGCAACCTCCCTAGCCCTGCCCGAGCTCCGCTAGCCTGAGTCGATGGCCTTCCCACCTCTCCCCAAACACCCAACCACCTTGGTAGGGTCTCCATGGGCAGGCTCACCGTAAGGGCTGGGGGCCGCTCTGCTGGAAGGAGGGGGCCTGGGGCCGGGGCCCAGCTGCCCAGAGGGAATCCGAGGCTCAGGCTCCGGCTCCGGCTTGGGCGGGGCAGCCCCGTGGTCTGTGAGGTGCTCAGGGCAGCCTTCTCCATTGAGCCCAGGGCAGCAACGCCAGGAGAGCTCCGTCACCATCTTGTAGCCGACCTTGTACTTGGGTCTGAGCAACGTGCGGTACCTGGGCCAGGGGTGGGGACAGGGCAGAGCTCTGATCTGCGGGCTGAGACGCCTGCCTCCTGGCGGGTGACCTTGCCCCCTGGCTGGCATTTGGGGCTGCTCTCAGACACTTGGAGATGGTCTAGATGTCTTCCCACCTCTGCACCACCCCAAGGGTTTCTTTTTCTGTGCTTCAGGCGACAGGGCCACGGGGTGGAAGCAGGCCTTGCCAAAGCTCAGAGATGGCTTAGGGGAGAAGGGAGCAAGACCTTAGCCCCAGGGCTCCAAGACCACCTGGAGCCCCTGGAGCTCATACTGCCAACAGGAATTTCTCTGGCTTTGGTGGTACCTTGAAGAATTTTGCCGAAGCCCGGGCCCCTCCCCTGTGGGTGGGGGCGCAGCACTGCCCTGTAGCTGGGACAAGCAGCCCCTCTGGGCCCCCGTCAGCTCCCCTTAGTCCCTTCCATGCTCCCTAGCCTACTCGGGAAACTCGGCTCTGGTCGCAGAGGCTGGTGAGAGGGCGCCTTTGATTTCGAGCACAGAGGGGAAGGGTCAAGAGTCGGGGACGGGGCAGGGGCCACTGCACCACGTGTTCAGCAGGTACCCATTCATCCACCGAAGGAAGGCCTGGGGCACGTGCCCAGGGGTCCTGAGCTAACAGGACTGTTTCCAGACCTGTGCTTGAACCTCTCCAAGTACAGAGCTGTGCGTCCACCTGTGTGCACTACCACACGTCCTCACACGGCCCGTCTGTCCAGCCCGAGCCCCACAGTCCAGCTCCCACCCCTCACCCCTGGCCTGCCTTCTCCACAGTCGCCACAGCCCTGCTTGAGTCGGCCCAGGGTCCCTTTGGCATCAACCACTGCCAGTGTGACTCTCTGCTCTCCCCTGTCCCCCCACTCTATGCCTTGCCACAACTTCTTCTTTCTTGCCTGGTGCTGCCTCTGCCCTAAAAACCCTCCCCTGCTCCCCCTAGGGGGTGGCTTTGACTGGAGCCTGCCCCTGACTCCTCTTTGGGCCCTTCCATCTGACCGGTGTTGGGGCCGGAGCAGCCTCC